TCACTTCAAGTCTAATACTAGTCACAACGCCAGTAACAACGCCAGCTAGTACCTCTAAACCACACTCGGAACTCGGATTTACAAGCTTGGAGCCTGACTAGTGGTGAAGCTGCCGATCTATCATGGTACAAAGGTATGAATTTTGTCCAATAATGGTCAGTTTTAGTGGTTACTTGTTGGTTTGGCCGTAATGTTTGGCATAGTTTTACTTTTTAGCGTCTTTTCGTACGACTTCTTCTCCTCATTGTTCTCCGTTTTCGTTTTGTGTGCTTTTGATAGTTGTGGAAAAGTCGACCATCAAGAAAAGTGCATTGTAAAAGACGTAAAAAAACACGAAAAGACGCTAAAAACCGGCTCCTAAAAACCGTAACAAATCTCTTGTAAACTAAAGTGGTAGCGAGGAAAAGAACATACGTGCAAAACACCGTTGTAGTGAGCAAAAATTATGTACGCCCGTCCCGTGCCGACGATCTCAAAGACAACGTTGTACACACTTACCGGTCGATTCGGTGATATGTCTTATCAAAATGGTCCGTTAAAAATATAAATACGTCGCTGTTCTCCCGCTCGTTGTGCGTGCCCACGGAAACCTCGTTTATTTTGAGCACGCCTTTGAACTGATTTGGCCGACAGGTCCCTCCGCGCACCCATGTAGTAAAAATGCCCGGCCTTCGGTCGCACATTATACGGTCGCAAAATGCGTGTCTACCTGGCTCTTAGTGAGGAAATACACATGCGGGTAAATTTGGGACGCTCGAGGAAATGCACGCAACGGTAGTTCGTCAGGCTCGGTCCGGCATTACGGCGTTCTGCTCTCCACTTTTGCGCCCACAAGATGCGTGTTTACTCGGTTTGTAGTGAGGAATTCCACGGGCGTGCAAGGTCAGCGCAGCGCGAGGACATACACGCGTGCGAACTCAGCACAGCGCGAGGAACGGCACGCGTGCAAACAATCGCGGAAATGAGTATCGGCACGCGTGCAAACCGACGTAAGTTGAGTAACCTCACGTCGTGCAAAACCTCGTTTCGGGTACCCAAAATATAGCTCCCAATAGAACAGGAGTTAATGATTTGCCCGGTCAGCCGGTGCCAGGCCTACTGGACCTTCTCATGCTCGGTTCTCGGTAGCCTCCGCGTATCAAAAAAGGTAGATTTGAACTAGCCTCTACCAGGCTTCGGGAGGCGGCTGGAAAGAGTAGAAATAATATGCCTAGGGAGTTGATCCGCTAGAGAGTACAGTTTTCGGGTGCGGCAAACTGTACTCTCCAGCAGACCAACTCCCCTGACATGTCGTCTGTCTATTTGGCCGACTTCTACTCTTTCCAGCCGCCTCCCGGAGCCTGGTAGAGGCTAGATTTGCACCAGGCATGGTTCTGGATACGCGTGGACCATCCAGAACCGTGGTTTTGGATAAAGCACGGTTCTGGATGCAGCAAGTACCGTGCGAATCTGACAAGTACACAGGTAATACACCTGTTAAGTGTACCTGTTACCTGTCCAGTTCTACCTGCACTCACCTGCGAATTACCATATCAATGGCACCTGTTGGTGCCCACCACAAATATCACGTGACCTCCGGCCAATGGCGGCGGGCGGGCCGACGCCCCCGCCAACGTTGCTATGGCGACGGTTCATTGTGTCGTCTGCAGCCCGCCCGGTTAGTGTTACCCACAACACGGTGGGAAGAAAGGACCGCGACAAAGCGATTTAACACACTCCGATCACCTGGACTAAACACTTCTCCGCGCTCCTTGGAACTTTCTTGGCTCTGGGATCCCTTCTTGGTGGTTCCTTGCGTCTTTAAGGAGAAGAAATGGCGGACGAGGAGAAACAAGAAGCCACGGAACACCAGGTGACGTAATGCATGTCGTTTGTAGCGTGTCTGATTTATTTCTTTATGATTAGCCCTTCTGGTACGATTTTAGCACAATCGCGGCGACCTAAACACTATCAAAACTCTCTTTCCAAACCTGTGTATACCTCAAGTGTAAAACAATCATTTTAGCCTCGTTATGTTTGTATAATCCCGAGTAAATGTCAGGTAAAATCACGTCCATGCTTCGCTTCACAGTCCGTCAGTCCCCCTGACAATACGGCAGGCTCTGTGTTTGCACGAAGCACGAGCCTTTTCTCTCTCTGTTTGGAGTAAACTTCAAACAAATCCTAACTTTCCACGCAATCTATTTGCCGACACGTTGCAAAATTGACATACAAAATAGACAATATTCAACATTAACGATTTTTATTCGTTTATACAACATAAACTCGAGTTTAAACGTCGAAATTACTTGAAGAAGTGACAAGAATAGCGACAGGTGCTTGAGTCTGTGTTACCTGTCGGTAGAGGGTAAACACAAAAGGTAAGGTTACACAGCCAAACGTAAACATTACACACCCGTGTGTAGATGATATGGGATCGCGTGTCTAATTTAATATCCCAGCCCTTCGTAAGAAGTCGTGCGTGGTATTGAACAGTTTTTGCCCCTTTGTTGGGGGTAAAATCGGAACGGGACAACCCGGCCATGTCATGTTGCCATGATTCGGTCGGCTGGTTGACCGTCGGGCGAGGAGAGAACACTAGTCAGTTGGCATAGTCATGCTTGTTGCACGGTTTCATTTACTTTGGCAGGGTTGTCTTTAAAGCAAGGCAGAAACGCCAGGGTTCTCACCAGGATTTTTTTCACAGTGTAGGGATCGGTACAGAAGGGCAAATTCATGTTGCGGCGCAAGTCGAGCATTGAGTCTCAAAGTAATGACTACAGCAGGGGTCTGGTATTCTTCCCGACATAAAAATTGAAACTCATAACCCCGGCCCCTGAAGCTGAGACAGTATTTCTCGCTTATTGCGGGACAGGCTTTGCGAAGTTAAGGTTTTGCCTTTGCTATGGCTTCATTCTTATGTTATAGCTTTCATTGTTTTTAAGATTTATGAAGGTTCTCCCCCCAAAAAATACCCCTATGCCGGTTGAAAGACAGCATAGGGGCCCAAATCACAGCATAGGGGTCCCTATGCTCAAAGAACCTAGTTAGAACTATGAAAACAGTTTTCCATAACGACCTATAAACATTTTCCGTCGCAAAACAGCCGAATTTTACACCAAAAATCACACAGGACTGTCACATGCCTTAGACTACCCTCCACTTGCTTCCGTGGACGTAATACATTAAGTATGACGGGTTGACAATGCAAGACTAAGACAGAGACGACTTTCTACAACGATCTACACTAGAATAGTAAAATTTTCCGTCGCAAAACAGCCGAATTCTACAGGAAAACTCACCCAGGACTGTCACAAGCTTTAGAACACAATATGTGACTTGCTTTGAATTCAAGTCACAGGCTTTTAGAACACCTGCTATTTGCTTCCGCGGACTACACTAAGAATTATATGGCGGGTTTAGTAACTTTACAATGCAAGACTAAGACATAAACGACTTTCTACAACCATTTACAGTGTCAGTGGTACCGTAGTAAACATTTTCAGTCACAAAACAGCTGAATTTTACACGACAACGTAACCCATTACTGTTACAGGCCTTAGAACACCTGTGATTTGCTTTCGTGCTCTACTATGGAAAGATTTATGTGACAGATTTACAATGTGGACTCTGACCTCTTTATGTTCTCTTGTGTTTCTCCTAAAAGAGCAATTGTTACTGCCATTTGGACAAGGCGATTATTATAAGTGCGTTGTGCTTGATATGAAGTGTGTAAGTGTGTAGATACAGCCGTACGTGTTGGACAAGTTATAAATTTTTGTGGCACAAACTAAGTTATAACACCCGAGCTAGCCAAACATTTCGTGTTGCTATGACTCGCGTTTCAATGCAAAACTAGTGATATGCCATGTACAGGGTTACTACTAGTAACTCTAGCCCGTGTTCACACATCACAATAACAGTTATTCCTTTTACTATATCTGTCATTTGGACAAAGTAATCATAGGATACAGCTAGGTATATACACACGTCAATTATATATAAACCCGTGGCTGGTCCAGTTTTGACGCGTATTTATGTTGTCAGGGCCCGGCGTGCTTTTTCACGCGAGACGGACAACACGAAATGTTTGGGGTTACAAGTCCCTGACCCAGTTCGTATGGTAACTCAAATACTAAGTACCCCATTGTTTTGTCATGATAATTACATACGGACAATGTACATTATACAAGGTTAACAAGGGTTAGACATCCAGGTAAATCATAAAAACTACATGGAAAGTGAACCGATGTCCCTTAAGTAAGTCCGTTCTCAGTCACTGATAAAAATAGCGGAGGCAATCTGAAACGTTTGACTCTTCTGTGAATGTTGTTTGGCTGACGCTGAGCATACTACTAGTATACTGTGATTACAAATGAAGTGCCCAGTTTTGCACTGTATTTTGTTACAAGCCACTAAAAAAATATAAAGGCAATATAACCACTAAGTATACAATATTCCTGTTGTTATTATTAGGAGGAGACAGAAGAAACGCCAGAGGAGCAAACTCCGGAACAGGAGGCTCCGGAAGAAGAGACTCCGGAAAAGTCTCCGGAGGATCCGGAATCTCCCAAGGAGAAGCAGGAGGACGGCGGAGGGAGTCGCGCGACCTTGACCGACAACGAGGAAGGTCAAGACAAGAAGAAAGAAAAAGAAGAAGAAGCGAAGGCACAGAAGGAGCAAAAAGAAGAAGAGAAAGAAAAGGATGACACTGATAAGGAAGGTAAGGGTTTCAGCACCGACTCGAAATATTTTATTACCGGTAAATTTATTTCGGAGGAAATGTTTTTAGAAAGAAAAGGAAGGAAAGAAGGACGAAAGG